CACTGAGAAGAGTCTGGCCCCATCCTCTTTCCACCCACCCTTCAGATATTGCTCAGCATCAATGAGATCCCCTCTCAGTCTGCTCTTCTCCAGGCTGAACAGCCCCAGGTCTCTCAGCCTTTCCTCAGCAGAGAGGTGCTCTAGTCCCTTGATCATCTTTGTAACTTCCACTGGACTCTTTCCAGTAGTTCCCTGTCCTTTTTGAACTGGGGAGCCCAGAACTGGCCACAGTTCTGGGAAGGAGACGTGCTGAGATTTACACAGTAAACCAAGATCAGATTACTTGGTTTTAAGGGAGGGAAGGACAGAATAAGTATTCTAGGGAAGGAGGAAGGCTTCTAGAAGTCTTCTAGAGCAGGAGGGATACAGAGTAGGGCAGGAGGAGGTGAGGGAGAGCTGGAAAGGTGTAAGGATGATGGGGCTGTGTTTGCTTTCTGTGTTTCCTGTGGCAGCGTGGAGGCTGGATGGGAAGGGAAGGTGGTGTGGCAGCCACCACCACGGGGGAAGAAGTACTCTCCAGTCATCTTATGAATAAGCCATAAGTTCTGATGATCCCTAGAGATATCTTGCAGGGAAGTGTATAATAGTTACAAGTAAACCTTCCCCCCGCCCCCGCCAAGATTTGCAAGCAGAATAAAATCCAAATATATACATTTTTGGGGGGGAAAAAAAACCCACCCAGTCATGGAATCATAGAAAAGAGGACAAGGAGAGAGACTTAAGAGGTCAACCAGACCATACTGCTGCCTGAAGTCAGGATCATCCCTACTTAAGCCATTCTTGATGGATGTGTGCCTAATCTGTTCTTAAACCTTCAGTGGTGGAGATTACACATCTCCCCAGGCAATCTCTTCCCGTGCTTAATTATCCTTCCTGTTAGGAACGCTCTCCTCGTGCTTAGCCAACATTTCCCCTGTTACAGTTTAAGCCTATTGCCTCTTTTCCCATCTGCAGGAGATGCAGAGGTTCATTCATTGCCTCTTTCTCCGCTGCGTCGCTTTTGGAGGCTGTGGCTCCTCTTGGGGTTCTCTCACAGCTAAATAACCTGAGTCCTTCAGCCCTCCTCCTCCTAGAGACCTTTGCTGCACTTTTCATCTCTTTTCTCCTGGTGGTCTATCTCTTTTTTGAAGCAAAATGCCCCAAACTCCGTGCAGGATTGCAGCAGAGGCCTTTTCCCTCGGGATCAGTGGACCCCCCTTGAGTTTTTTTGGGCAGAGTTTGGGTTCTTTTCATCCTTTTCCAGGCTTGGAAAGCAGCGTTTCTTCTGGGCTGGGGATGCAGAGGTTATGGATAACAGCTCGGGCTGTCATTCAGTGCCTGCGCGACACGGAGCAATTCGTGGGCGTCAGCGGGGTTTGGAATAATTGTCTTCCCTAATTAACTGGTTATCAAACAAGAACATTTCATTACGGCACAATTACTAGCTGCTTTGCTGAGACACAGAGGTGTCAGGATTACGATCCCAACATATGCTTCTTACAGCTCTGATTTTTTGTTTTCATAATCACTAACCATTTTTGCTCCCCCCCCCCCCCCAACCCACCCACTCGCTTAATGACTAATGAATCCTCCCGCTAACGAATAAGGAAAATAAATCAGCGGGCATGGCAGGTTAGAAAGAAAAACATGCAAAATGTTTTGAGGATCCTTAAATCTGATAAATTACTTTGAAATTAAAATCCCTGGGAGAAAATGGGATTTAATTAGAAAGTAACATGGTTTTGTCAATGTTTAAATTAAAATTTTAAAGGTTATAAATACTGCACTGGAGCTGCCGTTACGCAGAGGATCGGTGAGTTTTGTTTGGATCCGCTCTGCCCACGCCAGCCCGGCGTGTCCCCGGGGGCTGGCTGCGGTCCCACTGCTCAGCATCCTCCATGGAGCCCTCTGGGGGTGCAGAAGGTCCTTCATCTATGGGACAGAACTCCTGGCAGCAGACCCTTAGGGATGTCTCTTTTACTCTGAGGGTGGGTGGTGAGAGCCTGGCCCAGGTTGGCCAGAGAAGCTGTGGCTGCCCCATCCCTGGAGGGGTTCAAGGGCAGGTTGGAGGGGGCTTGGAGCAACATGGTGTGGTGGGAGGTGTCCCTGCCCAGGGCAGGGGGTTGGAACTGGATGATCTTTAAGGTTTCTTCCAACCCAAACCATTCAGTCGTTCTATCACCCTCTACAACTACTTGAAAGGACACTGTAGAGAGGTTGGTGCTGGTCTCTTCTCACAGGTAATTAACAATAGAACGAGAGGGAACGGCTTCAAGCTCCAACAGGGGAGGTTTAGATTGAACATTAGGAAGGAATTTTTCACCGAAAGAGTGGTCGGGCATTGGAACAGGCTGCCCAGGGAGGGGGTGGAGTCCCCATCCCTGGCTGTGTTTAAGGGCCGTTTAGATGCAGTGCTGAGGGACATGGTGTAGGGGAGGACTTTGTAGAGTAGGGGAGATGGTTGGACTCGATGATCCCAAGGGTCTCTTCCAACCTCAATGATTCTATGATTCTATGATTCTATAATGGCGCACAATATCTTCTAGAGCTTTAGGATCAGGTTAGAGAAGAAGGTAATGCAGTCAGCGCTTTCCAAAGCATGTGTGTGAGGCACAGCACTGTCTTGAAAAGACAAGGAGAGAGGAAGAGTTGGGGAAAAGAAAGGAGAAAAAAAAAAGTGATGGAGATGAAGGCAGGCACAGAATGTATTGGTTATTCATTTATTTGCATTTAGGTTAAGGAAGTCTCATTTACCTGCCCTCTCACTGTCTGTAAATTGCAGGTTTTTCTCCAGATGAGTCTTCCTAATAATTGATTTCCTCTCTGCGTAGCTGCACGTGCTTTGATTTCCCACTGTCCCAGATTTGAAAAAAAAAAAGCACAAATGCTCTTGGTATTTTGCTGTTGCAGAGGAGAAATACAAATATGTTTTCAATCCATCAGCACTGGCCCCTGTTCCACCTGGTGCCCAAGACACAGGAATTCCTATTTCATTGCCATGCGGTCATGAGGGGCTGCATTTATGAGCATCTGGGAGTGACACTGTGGGGACAATTGTGCTTTCTGGTAAATGCTGTGGGGGTGGCACCGGTGGCCCCTCCATGGGCTACGGGCATCAGGGAGGCCACAGCTACGGGGGGAGGGAACAGCTTTTCTTAGGGGAACGAATACTGTTGGAAGAAATAGTTACTTTTCTCAGGCAAGCTCTTCTTCAGGCCGACATTTTAAAATGCAATTTGGTTCCGAGTGGAGCAAATATAATACTTCCAGAATGCCATGAAGCCAAAGACAAACTTAGGAAAATGCTCCATTTCAGAAAATTACCTTCTGAGACCTCCAGCGTGTCACAGAATCACAGAATCTTCTAGGTTGGAAGGGACCTTAAAGATCATCTTGTCCAACCGTCAACCTCACTGACAAAAATAGACACCCACACAACAAACAAGGAGCATCATCACTAAACCATACCTCCCAGCACTACATCAACCCGTCTTTTGAACACCTCCAGGGATGGGGCCTCAACCCCCTCCCTGGGCAGCCCATCCCAGTGTCTGAGAACCCTTTCAGTGAAAAAATTTTTCCTAATCTCCAGCCTGAACCTCCCCTGGCGCAACTTGAGGCCATTTCCTCTCGTCCTGTCGCCTGTGACTTGGGAGAAGAGACCGACCCCCACCTCTCTACACCCTCCTTTCAGGGAGTTGGAGAGAGCAATAAGGTCTCCCCTCAGCCTCCTCTTCTCCAGGCTGAATAACCCCAGCTCCCTCAGCCTCTCCTCATAAGACTTATTCTCCAGACCCCTCACCAAATGTTTCATTACGGGAATCTCTCTGATTTAGCAAGGAAAATAAGGTTTTCAAGCCATTTTTAATAGAATGTATCTGATTTTAAACTGAAATGGAAGTAAGCGGATGGTTTCGCTGCTGGAAGGTTACTTTCCCTTCAGAGGTCAGTGTGAGAGCGGAGTCTGAGGTGCTGCCATGGCCATGGAAATTTACAGGGGGAAGGAGATAAATATTCCCATGAGGCTTCAGCATCTTGATTATTGGAAGCTGTCATTGTTCTAAAAGCAGAATTAAGTGTATGCAAATCTGTTCTATCGGCGCGCTGCTCAAGGAGGTCTTTTTCTCAGGTATTTTTCTCAGGAGTTTCTGCCTTGTTTGCTGAAATTTTTATTCCGTTTTCAAATATTTTTTTTTTTGCTTGCTCAGTTTAATGTGTTTAACCCCATGAGGACTCACACTGCTTGAGGCAGGGTGGATTACACCAGTGTTTTTCCATCCGTGGAGGACCAAGCTCTGGGCAGAAGGGGGACCAGTCCTGTGAAACAGTCATGAAACACGTCTCATTACAGGGGAGAGAAGGAAGAATAAACAACAATTCACTCTTACAAAGCTTTATTATTATTCTTTTTTTGGGGGTAGCAAACTATACTGATACTTGCTGTTCCCCTTCAAGCCCCAGCTCCCAGAATCATAAGATTTGGCACAAATCTCAGCTTTTATATGCAAAGAAAGGACTTCCCAGCTGTCAGGACTGTGGAGAAGAGCTTGAGAGTGTTGGGCTCTAAAGACTTAATAATGGGAAAGCCCAGAAAACGAATGAGAAGTTTAGAATTTCTGAGTGTCTCACCATTTTTTAAGCAAGTCCTATCATTTGGGGATTTTGCCTCTTGTTCTTGCTCTTCCAAGAGCCTGGGTCGCACTTTTCCCTGCTGGGGAAGTGATTTCATTGAGTTCACCCTATAAAATCAGGCTGTGTCTCTTAGAGCAGCCATGCAGAAATATCTGCCGAGGCACACAGACTGGTCTGGCCTGTGATGTCTCCAAAAAATCCCAGTGTGGCCCAATCCAGGGGTTTTATTTGCTTGACTTGGGGTAAATTACTCCCCAGCAGAAAGGAGTTTTCCGTGCAGGAAATGCCCTCAACGCACGGGTGGGGGATCCCACTGAGCAGGGTGCAGCCGAGCCCAGCAGCATCCTATTCTGCTTTATTAATTATTATCTGTTTCTTGGTCCTTTCAGGCGTACAAGAGGAAAACAGAAGCTGCCAAGAAGGAGTACCTGAAGGCGCTGGCAGCGTATCGGGCCAGCCTGGTCTCCAAGGTACGTCCCACCCTCGCTCCACGGCTGGAGGTGGCCATGCTGAACTCCTTGCAACTCACAGGATGCTCCAGGGAGGAGCAGTTTTATAAGAAATCGAGTTTAATTGTGCTGTCAGACCTGGTGTCAGTGCTTGCCACCTTCTCAAAGAGCGAAAAGAAATGCTCTGCCTTATCATAGAATCACAGAATCATAGAATTTCCCAGGCCGGAAGGGACCTCCAAAGGCCATCTAGTCCGACCCCCCCGCAGTCAGCAGGGACACCCCCAACTAGACCAGGTTGCCCAGGGCCCCATCGAGCCTCTCCTTGAATATCTCCAGGGATGGGGCCTCAACCACCTCCCTGGGCAACCTGTTCCAGTGCTCCACCACCCTCACAGTGAAGAACCCTCTCCTAATCTCCAGTCTAAATCTGTTCCCCTCCAGCTTAAAGCCATTGCCCCTCGTCCTGTCACTGCAGGCCTTTCTAAACAGGTTCTCCCCAGCCTTCCTGTAGGCTCCCTTCAGGTACTGGAAGGCTGCTATTAGGTCTCCCCGGAGCCTCCTCTTCTCCAGGCTGAACAACCCCAGCTCCCTCAGCCTGTCCTCGTAGCAGAGGTGCTCCATCCCCCTGATCATCCTTGTGGCCCTCCTCTGGACCCTCTCCATCAGGTCCATGTCCTTCTTCTATTGAGGGCTCCAGACCTGCACACAATACTCCAGGTGAGGTCTCACCAGAGCAGAGTAAAGTGGCAGAATCCCCTCTCTGGACCTGCTGGCAACACATCTTTTGATGCAGCCCAGGATGGGATTGGCCTTCTGGGCTGCAGCTGCCCACTGCCTGCTCATGTCCAGCTTCTCCTCCACCAGCACCCCCAAGTCCCTTTCCTCAGGGCTGCTTTCCAATACCTCACCCCCCAGTTTGTATTGATGGCGAGGATTGTTCCGGCCCAGGTGCAGAACCTTGCATTTGTTCTTGTTGAACCTCATGAGGTTCACCTGGGCCCACCTCTCCAGCCTGTCCAGGTCCTTTTGGATGACATCCCGTCCCTCTGGTGTATCGACAACACCACACAGCTTGGTATCGTCCGCAAACTTGCTGATGGTGCCTTTAATCTCCCTGTCTATATCATTGATAAAAATGTTAAAGAGCACCGGCCCCAGCACGGACCCTTGAGGAACTTCTGCCTTCATCACCCCAAAATGAGACCCCCCCATTGGATTTCCCTCATCGGCGGGTGTCTCAGTAGGGGAGGGGTGTCCCTGCTTGGTGACAGAGGGGTCTCTGCTGCCTTTCCCCTTCTTTTTCCTCTCTTGGCTCTCAGGGTGTGAGTCCAGCAACCAAGGGAGTGCTGGCAAGGACATGAGGATAGTGCTCACTGTGGGTGACACCAGAAGGTGGGACCTCATCCCTGGGCTCACTGGCCAGCGCTGGGCAGTAGCCAGGTGCCACCATCTTGCCGGCACCCTGGTCCAAGCACTTGGGCTGTTCTGGCTGTTCTGAGAGCTGGGGTTCCAGAGAGTAAGACCCATAACTGTGTGTTGATAAGCATATCCCTGCTTGTCGCACCACTGTCAGGCACAACCCAGAGAGCCCATTTTCGTGCCTAATGGTGAACTTTCAGGGGTTTTCAGGTTCGTACAGGAGCTCCCAGTGCTTCAAGGCGATGATGGGCCAAGTGCTTGCCCATCCCAGTCCTCCAAACTCACCCATCCCAGGAGACCTGACACCTTGCCCTCCTCCATGACTTCAGAGAGGGGGCACAGGCATCTGCAGCCTGTGAGTTTGGGGTGGCTGCTGCGGAGCTTGTAGTCTTGCTAGCTCAGGGGGACGTGCTGCCCTTGGGTTGTGAGTAGGTGCATCAGGTTGTTTTCCCTTTAGAGCTTCTCCTTGGCACTGTACCACACCCTCGGTACTTAATCATCACATTCAGCTGCCCTGGGAAATAATGTGATGTCCCAAATGGTCTGCAGATCCATGTGACTGTGGTGGTGGGCTGGAAAGACACGAGCACCATTAGCTGTCTTAACTCATAAACAGAACTGCAGCAAAGATGGAAAAAGGGAATGGAAAGGACTGTTTAGGGGGTTAAAGGCTGTCCTTGGCCCTCTGGAAACGTGAGGGTCTTGCCTTGGAGGTGCCTAGCAGCAGTGTGGGGTAGGTAGCACAGAGGGTATAGAGTCACCCCACGCCATGGTTTCATTTTTTCCCAGTTTCTCCACTGACCAGTTCTTTGCAGAAGAGCAACTTTGAGTAAAACAGCCCAGTGTGATCCTGGCTGCTGGGTGAGAAAGGATCTGGAGTATCATTACAGAGCCCACTGCAGGACAAAAACCTCATTGTCAGAGCCAGAAAATATCCCCTTGTTCTTCTCCTTTTTCCTGCAGAAATGAGGCCACCATTTGTCCTGTGCATTATAGACCCCCCCCCCCAGGGCTGCAGGAATGCACGCGATTAGGGAAGCAGAGTTTTTACAGCCCCATTCGTTCTCTGTTGGAAGCAAAAGTGATTTTGTCACCCACTTCTGTGGACTTAAGGAGCAAGCAGCAGGTGGGCGGTTGCCTCCACGCTGGTTAATGCTCCTCTGGTGCCCCAAGCTCTGCCAAAAGCATGGTTGAGTTACTGGACTTTTAATTTCCCAGATGTGGACACCGCACCCGGCCCGAGGTCACCCAGTGAACCACAGGGCTGGGGGTGCATATGCTGCTGGTGGGAGAGGAGCAGGAGCCTTGGGGAGTCATGGAATCATAGAATCATAGAATGGTCTAGGCTGGAAGAGACCCTTGGGATCATCGAGTCCAACCATCTCCCCTACTCTACAAAGTCCTCCCCTACACCATGTCCCTCAGTACCCCATCTAAATGTCCCTTAAACACATCCAGGGATGGTGACTCCACCCCCTCCCTGGGCAGCCTGTTCCAATGCCCGACCACTCTTTCAGTGAAAAACCCTTTCCTAATGTTCAGTGTAAACCTCCCCTGTTGGAGCTTGAAGCCGTTCCCTCTCGTTCTGTCACTAATTACCTGTGAGAAGAGACCAGCACCAACCTCTCTACAGTGTCCTTTCACGTAGTTGTAGAGAGTGATGAGGTCTCCCCTCAGCCTCCTCTTCCTCACACTAAACAGCCCCAGCTCCTTCAGCCGCTCTTCATATGATTTGTTTTCCAGCCCCCTCACCAGCTCCGTTGCCTCCTCTGCACTCGCTCCAGCACCTCCAGATCTCTCTTGTATTGAGGTGCCCAAAACTGGACACAACACTCGAGGTGTGGCCTCACCAGTGCTGAGTACAGGGGCATAATCACCTCCCTACTTCTGCTGGCCACACTATTTTTGATACAAGCCAGGATGCCATTGGCTTTCTTGCCCCCCTGGGCACACGCTGGCTCATATTCAGCCGTTTGCCAACTAGAACCCCCAGGTCTCTTTCCTCCAGGCAGCTCCAGCCACACTTCCCCAAAGTGTGCATTCATCATAGAATGGTTTGGGTTGGAAGGGACCTTAAAGACCATCTAGGTTCATGAGCAGGGACACCTCCAACCAGACCAGGTTGCTCAAAGCCCCATCCAGCCTGGCCTTGAAGCCCTCCAGGGCTGGGGCATCCACAGCTTCTCTGGGAAGGAGACGACTTCTGCAGAAAGAAGTCCAGATTCTCTGGGATCTGAGTCGAGGTAGCTCGGTTGGATGGATGGGTGTCTTGGAACACATAATGATGTTTCCTCCTTTCATTCCTCATCACCCTCTCTTCTGTTTTCCCACAGAGCTCTGCTGACCAAGGGGAGACGAAAAGCGCCCAGACCAATCCACCTTCCAAAATGATCCCTCCCAAGCAGCCCATGTACCCGATGCCACCGCAGGCTTCCTCGCCCTACCCCGGCCTGGGATCCTTCCTGTCCCCATCGGACCTGCAGAACTACCGTGGCCACCCCCACCCCGGCCTCCCCCGGACCCTCACCCCCCAGCAGCCCCTCCTGTCCCCCCCCATGGCACTACAGGTACAGCCCCCCATCAACGCCTCACCTCCTGGGCAGCAGGTAGGTTGCTCCGAGAGGGTTTGCAGCAGGAACTGCCACGTTTCCCCTCTTTCCTTCAGTTTCTGGGTGGTTTGGGGATCTTGGGGGTCGATGTTGTCTCCCAAGTGGGTCTTCTCCTGGCTCCATCAGCTTGCTGATCTCATAGTTTGAGGGTGGTGTTTTCAAGAGGGGGCACGAGCACCCCCAGAAATGGGGCAGATTTGTACAATGGAGCAAGGAAGGCTTTTCCAGCACCAGACGGTGCAGGATCACTGATGGTCATCTGAAATAACGGCTTGGATAGTCAATGAGAAACCCCTCCTGTGGCATTGCTGAGAGAGGGGAGGGGCTGGAAGGGCACATGGGATAAAAGCAGGGATCCAGGGCAGTGCCAGGAGGAGGAAGAGGATAGAGGGGATATCACAAACGAAATAGAAAATCAACACTTTATCAAAAACTGCCTGGCAATAGGAGAAAACCACTTTTGTGGCAGTGAGCTGAGAGTGTGCACGTGTGGTTGCCTGTGTGCCCACACTACCAGCACAACATCAAGATGAAACATAGAGTCACAGAATCACATGGGGTTGGAAGGCAGCAAGATGAAACATAGAGTCACACAATCACATGGGGTTGGAAGGAACCTCCAGAGATCGTCTCCTCCAACCCCCTGCCAGAGCAGGGCCACCCAGAGCAGGTCTACCCAGAGCAGGTCCCACAGGAACGTGTCCAGGTGGGTTTTGAATGTCTCCAGAGAAGGAGACTCCACCACCTCTCTGGGCAGCCTCTGCCAGGGCTCTGCCACCCTCACAGGAAGGAAGTTCCTCCTCATGTTTAGATGGAACTTCTTATGTTCAAGTTTGTGCCCCTTTCCTCTTGTCCTGTCACTGGGCACCACTGAAAAAAGCCTGCAAAAGCAAGCAAAAAAAAGCAAAAAAAGCATTTCCTATACCTTATAGAGAAGTTGCCAGTATTCAGAGGAGATGAGTGGCTTCCAGAGTTTCTCCATCTGGAATATGAACTGGGCAGACTGTTCACAGCAGAGGACAGATCCTCTGAATTCCCAGCTGCTGCCACTGACTCGGTGACACTTTTAACCCCAGCCCTCACCCAGCTGCCTGGATAATTTGTGTTTCGCATGTTTCCTAGCTCTATATCACACAATTCATACTGTACTTCAGCAGTGAACAAAGCTTGCTTTCCCATCATGTGACCTAGTCAGTTTGGGGCTAACTTTGAGGAAACCGAAATTATTAATTTAGGAAAAGACATTGCAGTGGAAGAAAACCAAAGGAGAGCAGGGGGGTGGAAGCACAGTTAGACCTGACCGTAATAAAAAGGCAGCATTTGTGGAAAGGTCGGATCCTTACTCAGATTTTGATTCCCAGCCTGCTCAGGGTATTCCAAATAACTTGGAATGGTTGGGTTTTAGCTCTACATAAGCAAAAAGGGCTTCTGTAATTCTGTAATTCAGCCATAGCCTGCGTCCAGAAGTGGGCATAAAAGGGGATCCTCATAATCACTTTAATTGGGGTAGTTGTTGTTGCTGAGGGCAGCATTTTGTGAAGCTTCATTCCACGTAAATTTGCGAATAAAAAGTAAAAGGTAAAGAAAATGAAATACCCCCCCACTGCCCTCATTTGAATATTTTGGAGAAAATCATGTTCTTGGCCAGGTAGCTACTGTGACTCTTGTTTATGTACGTTGCCTGATGTTACCTAATTAAGCCAACCCTCCAAAATCAGGAAAGCTAATCAGCTTTCAGATGAAACAGCTCCCTGGTGTCCTTGTTACCTCACTGCAGTGGCAGCTGGTGGGGAGAGTGTGGTCCCTGTGGCTGGTCCTTTCCTTGTTAGCGTACATTGTGATGGGCCAGTGCCTTCCTGCAAAGGGGGCTGCACCCGAAGTGGGGAAAAAAACCCCTAGTTTTGGTTGCCAGAGCTGATGCAGAGGCTTCTGTGTCCATTCACCGCCCCCGAGGAGGGAGATCCTGAAAAACAAGAGGGGATAAAGAGGGCTGTACCACAGATGTTGCTGCTTTGACACCTGCCTGCAACAACTCGTGTTCTGCAGGGTCCCACCGCCGTGGGTCAGGGTCCTGGGCTTGACCCCGCTGCTGTCCCTGGGGCTCCCTCTGCACTTTAAACATATTTATGCAATATTATTATTGGATCTGCTGTTCCTCCTGCTGCATCTGCCCCCATAACCCTTCCTTTCCTTTCCCCCCTGCAGGACTTCTCACATATTTCATCTGAGTTTCCAAACAGTGTTGGACCCCGTTCGCCAGGTGCATCGAACCCTCCGGGAAGCACCGACTGGGACAACGACTACCCCAGCAGAGAGTGTGGGATCAACCACTGCAGGCCAGTACACACACCAGCACCTCGCTAACGCGCTCTCCGGTACCTCAACTGTGACAGTGTCCCAGTGGCCAAGAATCTGCCCTAAAACATACACCAAGGTGGTAGGCGAGTTACGGTCAAGGTAGTCCAAGGTCTCCTCTTCTCTGTAGGCTCATTGAAGTGATGCTGTGGAAGAGGAGGGCCACAAGGATGATCAGGGGGATGGAGCACCTCTGCTACGAGGACAGGCTGAGGGAGCTGGGGTTGTTCAGCCTGGAGAAGAGGAGGCTCCGGGGAGACCTAATAGCAGCCTTCCAGTACCTGAAGGGAGCTACAGGAAGGCTGGGGAGAACCTGTTTAGAAAGGCCTGCAGTGACAGGACGAGGGGCAATGGCTTCAAGCTGGAGGGGAACAGATTTAGACTGGAGATGAGGAGGGGGTTCTTCACTGTGAGGGTGGTGGAGCACTGGAACAGGTTGCCCAGGGAGGTGGTTGAGGCCCCATCCCTGGAGATATTCAAGGAGAGGCTCGATGAGGCCCTGGGCAACCTGGTCTAGTTGGGGGTGTCCCTGCTGACTGCGGGGGGGTCGGACTAGATGGCCTTTGGAGGTCCCTTCCGGCCTGGGCAATTCTATGATTCTATGATTCTAAGCAGGTAGCTTAAAAATCACAGATAAAATTCTTCATTGGGCATGAAGAGGTTTCCTTTTTTAGTGTTTTCATCCCATTAGCGATGAAGGAGTGGGACGTGGCTCCGGGGAGACCTCAGAGCAGCCTTCCAAATGAAGGAGTGGGACATGGCTCCAGGGAGACCTCATAGCAGCCTTCCAAATTTCAAGGTTCTATGGATACAAACAACTACTAGATCTTCTCTTCAAAGGGAGCTACAGGAGAGCTGGGGAGGGACTCTTTGCCAGGAAGTGCAGTGACGGGACAAGGGGCAACAGTTTTAAATCGGAAGAGGGGAGATTTAGATTAGATATTAGGAAGAAATTCTTCACTGTGAGGGTGGTGGAGCACTGGAACAGGTTGCCCAGGGAGGTGGTTGAGGCCCCATCCCTGGAGGGGTTCAAGGCCAGGCTGGATGGGGCTTTGAGCAACCTGCTCTGGTGGGAGGTGTCCCTGCCCAGGGCAGGGGGTTGGAACTGGATGGTCTTTAAGATCCCTTCCAACTCTAACCATCCTATGATTCTATGTTTCCTTTTAGAGCAGGCCAGGGAAGCCCTGTCTCCCAGGCACAGTCCCTGGAGGTTTGAAGGTGGCCACATCCCTCAGCAACATCCTTCTCTTCCTAAAGTTCTTGCTCTTATTGCTGAGGCCACAACCTCCCGTGGTTTCTCTGCTGGGTCCCTGACTGTCCGTGGGGTTTCACTGTGATATTGCACAAAGGCTCATCCTCCCAAGAGCCACACGATGCTCCCGTCCCCTGCACCTGGCAGGAAAAGGCCACAAGCATCCGCTCAGATCTCCCCCCTTAACGCCCTCCGAGCTCTGCCATCGATGTACCGGCACAAAGGTCCCTTCAGCGCTGCTTGGATTCCCCAATAAATAAAAACATCAGGGTAGTCTGAAAGCTGGGGAACGGGGAGGGTGTGAAAGCCTTCTCCAGCCTCTGCCTCATCCACTGCTCTTGGCGTGGCCATAATAGTTGGGGGACGGCTATTGTGCGCTGTGAAACCGGCACAGTCTGCGGGGAGAGCAGGGAGGGAAGGAGGCTCAGGAGCTTCTGCCTATTCTTTGATTTGCTTGAAGTACTGGAACATAGTGCTTTCACTGGAGATAATAGCAAGCTCCCAGCCTTTTCAGAGCCCAGCTCCCGTCTGTGCCAGCAGTGCACTTACAATTGCCGGGCCGGGCACGGCACAGACTGTACAGACATTTATTTCTTTCAGGGAAATAAATAACTTGCTGAGGCATTAGAATATCGCCGCTGTCTGCCTGCCCGAGGGAGCTCAGCTCCGTGGATTGGTCTGGGCTCTGTTGCTGACCTTTGCGTGGTCCTTCCTGAGGGCTCTCAGACAGCCCAGAAGAAGGAACCTGTCTGGGGTTTGATGACAAAAGTCACTTCAGACGCTGTGGGCAAAAAGCTAAGGGTGCTTGGAGGGTTACGCCACGTGGATCCCAATTTCCAGAGGCACTGGGCAGAGGCAGCTCCCAGAGAAATTGTCTCCCCTAGAAATAAGCATCACAAATTTAGGGGATCAGCTGGGAAAACACTCGATTCCCTCTGCAAATCCCACCGCTGGGAAACTCGGGGCACTCTAGAAAGAGGTGAAACGCTCCCATAGTAGTCGGGATGGAGTTTTGTGTTGCTAAAACAAGCCCTGTGACACCTGGCTGCAGTGCCGTCCTGTCAGCAGAGGGCCCGTGCAATTCGTGATCAAAGCTCATGCGTTTCATGCCTTTGTCACAGCAGAAATATTGAATTTCATGGGTTTATCGCAACTTCCTGGGGAAAAAAAAAAAAAAAAAATCATTCTAAACCCAGACAGATTATGCAGAGACTTCCAGATAATTATGAGAGTAGATTATAGCAATGAACTCAGATGGGTGTAGATCAGCACTGCAGAGAGTGCTTGGTGCACTGAAAACTGTCACAGTCTCTGTCGGGGAAGGAGCCTGTCTCCTGTGAGTGGAGACACAGGGGCTGTTGGCAGCCCAAACCTGGCTTGTTCTGGTGTTATTGTGAAGCCTGGTGTGTCAGCGGGGCCACCTCCCCCCTGCTCCTGGTATTTGCTGCCCACAGGCACGTTCTGCATCACTTGTAGCATCCACACACATCTGTGGGACCACAGCCCTGCTCTGCTTCAAGGGTACAGTCCTGTCGAGAAAAGAGATGACCTGGTGCTCATCATCTTCCTCTCTGTGCTGCTTTCTCCAAGGAGCTTTGCACTAATTTGCACATGATGTTCCAAGTTACCCTCATGCTCCAACGGCCCCTGCTGTCAGCAAAGCACCGAGAAAGGGATCTCCTTGGGGTTGATTAATCAGTGCGGCTTTAGCTATCATTGGGAAGTCTCTGGATCATGTAATTGCCCGTTCCAACCTCAAAACTGCATAATTGCAATTAAAGCAGCACTCTGAGGAGGAGCAAAATCAGCAACTGGCTGAAAAAAAAAAAAAAAACAAAACCAAAAACCCAAACTATTATTTTCTGTTGTGATCTGGCTCAGCTGTAGGGTCCCAGGTTCCTGAGAAGGGGGATGGTACCAGCCTCCCCAGCACACAGACAGTCCTGTCTCACTCTCCGGGTTAGGATTTTCATTTCATGTCTGACCTTGATGTTTCCTTGGCTTCCAACATGCTGGCACTGGGTCAGCTGGGGTAAAACCTCCCAGTCCTACATTTCCTTTTGTGTTTGTCACCCACACATCTTCTGACAAACTAACAAGGTTGTCTTTTTCTCTGTCTTCTTCATCTAATAAGGGAACTGCTGTAGGGTTTATTTATTTTCCCAGCCGATCAGTGCTAGTTAAAATGCCATTAAGTGACATTTCTTCCCTTATGCCCCTCAAATTCTAGGATCCTGTGAGCAGACACTCCCTAATTCATAAATCAGCCGTGTTAGAGAGAGAGTTTAAGCATTTCTTAGCTCATCCTCTCCCCCTTCTTAATGATTTTGTGCTTACTGACTTCCATCCAATTTTCCAAGCTCTTTCTGGGCTTAAGCCCAAGCTGTCCTAGATCACCAGCAGAGACACGGGGGATGTTTCTCAGTTCCTGCTTTGTATATGACTATCACTTCCCACAAGTGCCTGCAGCATGCAATTCTATATTGCTTTTTGCCATCCTATCACAAACTGCTTACATGGTCCCCTGTCTCCCTCACCTGACAGCCTTATTCTCCTGCTTGCTCTTTCCCAGGTGCCCACACAATACCCGGGGCTTTGCAGTGACTTTCTCTGAGAGACCCAGCTCCCCTGTGCCGAGGTTGCTGCACAGTTTACAGTCACTTTCAAATCTTTCTTTAGTTCCTCCAGGCACCTCACTAGTTTTTTTTTCTGCCCTGACTTCTGATTGCAACTCTTTCTATACCAAAGCTGACTTCAGGGTTGTGTTTGTCTCGTTTAGGTATTTTGGTGATAACACTGAACTGGATTCATCTTTCTGTGACCTTCCTCTCACTTGCAAGGCACAGATTAGGTTCTCTTTGGGCACCATCATTGCACAGAACCACAGAATCATATGGGGCTGGAAGGGACCTCTGGAGATCATCCAGTCCCAACCCCCTGCCAGAGCAGGTCCCACAGGAATGTGTCCAAAAGGGTTTGAATGTCTCCAGAGAAGGAGACTCCACCACCTCCCTGGGCAGCCTCTTCCAGGGCTCTGCCACCCTCACAGGAAAGAAATTTCTCCTCATGTTTAGATGGAACTTCCTATGTTCAAGTTTGTGCCTGTTCCCTCTTGTCCTGTCCCTGGGCACCACTGAGAAAGACTGGCCCCATCCTCCTGACACCCACCCTTTAATATTTATAGGTGTTGATCAGATCCCCCCTCAGCCTTCTCTTCTCCAGACTGAAAAGACCCAAGTTCCTCAGCCTTTCCTCGTGACAGAGATGTTCTAGTCCCCTCATCATTTTTGTAGCCCTCTGCTGTCCCCTCTCCAGCAGTTCCCTGTCCTTCTGGAACTGGGGAGCCCAGAACTGGTCCCAGTGCTCCAGATGGAGGCTCCCCAGGGCAGAGCAGAGGGGCAGGATGACCTCCTTCAACCTGCTGGTCACACTCTTCCTGATGCCCCCCAGGATGCCATTGGCCTTCTTTAGCAACTTTTCTCCTCTCTTCCCACTCTCCCTTGGGCTAAAAGATGGGAGACACTCAGTTACACCTTGTCCAGACACATAAAACCATGTACAGCCACTTCATCTGGACACTTAGAACCTTGCTAATTCCTGCTAACGACGGAGTGATCCTCTCCAAATGGGGGGATTTCCCACATCAGAAACTAAATGAGCAAACACTGCAGAAAGGCAAGGATAACCCATCGCAAACGCACTTCGCTTGGATTCAATTATTTATGGTAATACTTTGTAATGAACTGGGAAATGTTCTGTAGCAGATTTTTTAAAATTAATGAAGTTTTAGTGCTGGGATACCTCACTGCTGCTCAGTGGCATTAAGTCTTTGCTGAGTGCAGTGGGGAAGACTCCGCATTTCAAATGCAGATTATGAAATGTGGAGATTAACGAAGTGCGGCTTCTTCTGCGCTCTGTCAGAAAATATCTCTATCACCAACAGCATTCCCTTGCTGTCTGCTCTTGCCCTATTATTCCACCCAAACACACCCACAACAGCATCTCCCATAGCTTTGTAATGTTCTTCACCACCTTTTAAGGCCAAGATGTCTTTAAAATGCAGCCAATGATGTTTCCGTCAGGTTTGTGTAGATGATAATACCCGTTAAAATGGCTGGATTTCAGAGCAAAACCCACATCAGCCAGAGGAGAGGAACTTCAGCCAGAGGAGAGGGATTTCAGCCACTCCTCTTATGTATGGTGTCCTGGAAAAAAGAGGGATCTGGGCTCCCTTGTAGGAGACTGCTGGTGGCAAGTTAAAAGTGTTAGCCCACATGGAGAGTTGAAGGACCAGGAGGACACAGGAGAGGCAATAGGTCTCTGCCCAACTTGCTGTAGAGCCGTCCACACATGGGCAGTGATGGTATAAGCCATCTTCCATCTCCAGGACACACCTGGATCTCTTGAAATCAAAGTCATTGACTCAATAACAGGAGCAATCCAAGGTCTGGTGGGCCAGGGGTGTGCAGCCTGGCTGCTGTCCCACCACCCTCCTCCCCAGCCTCGCACCACAGTCGTCCTTGGGTTCCTTGAACCTCCTGCTGTCTTCATCAGACCCACGGGAATGACCTGCTGTCTCAAAGTGTTTTTCCCTTCATTCCCTTAGTTTTTCTCATTGTACTTCTTTTGGGAGAGGAGGAGAGCGGCATCGAGCAGGTGGTGTCTCCTGCTCCCATGCTCTTCAGCCATCAAGCTTCTATCAATCCTCCTGGGCAGCCACATGCATCTGCAGCCATAAGCCCTTCAATCGTATTTTTGAAACCCCTTACTCCTTATGCAGTGTCAGAATGACACGTTTTCTCCAAAAGCAAGTGTGCATTTTCTAAATCTCCATGGCTCAGCCCATGTACAGCGTGTGGTGAAGGGGACCGGTGGCCAAGGGGCTCATTCCAGTCACAGCACGAGGCTGGAGCTGGTACCAGCATCATGCTGGTGTGCTCTGCAGGGCAATCCAGAGCTGGCCCTCCCCTGCAGCCCCAGCAAGAGTGAAAATTAACCGACGGGGAGGACCTTATGTCCTAGTCATTATTGTTGAAATTCGGGAAAAACTAAAATTGCACCGGGCTGTTACTCTGAAGCACCTTCTGCTGGGTTCATCTCCACACACCCGTCCCTTGGTGAGGACCACTTTGTGTTCTGCGTTACGGGGTGCCAGGAAAACCCCGGCACAGCTGGAAATGGCTGTGCAAATGCTGATTTCAGCTCCCCCCGGGCTGGTTCCCTGCCCCATCTCACCTTCCCATTTCTCCTTCTCTCTTACAGCATGCTGCCAAGGGACAAGGCACTCTACCTCACCTAAAACCCACCATCTGGCTTTGGAGGAGGCTCAGATGAAGGACACTGGAGAGGGTCTATCTTACAGACTACCCCGCAGGGGCACCGAGCAAGTCGTCCGGACGAGAGAGCTACCACTGCACCTCGTCGCTGGCTTCGTTTCCAGGCTCTAAGAGCAGTTTTCTTTTCTTATTTTTTTTTTTTTGAACTCTAAAGCCTACTTTCCGTGGAAGCCCAAAACCTCATAGATCATGAAGAACAAAAAACGAAACAAAAAAAACCATAAAAAATAAAAATAAAGAAATAAAAAAGTAAAAAAATACAATAAATAAACACAAAACCAACAAAAAAAAAACTAAGGACACCATTTTTCTGCTTGCCATCAGCTTCGCTACAGACTATTTTCCTAGTGAACTGCTTTTAGACACAGCATAGGCCAGGTCTGGTGTCCGACAGCATTAGGCCAGCTCAGTAGGAGGATGCACTCTTTTGACTTGCTAATAAACAGCACTAAACTTTGTGCGAGAAAAAAATGTGAAGTTTGTGTGAATATTGTACATGCAAAGGCCTTGGATGTCTGGCGAATAAAAAAAAAAAAAATAAAAAATAAGATTACAAAACTTAAATAAAAACTATTGCTAGGTAGGTGGGGGGAGAGAGAGCAGGAGGCAAAATACGAGAGGAAACAAATGTGAAAAAGATCATGAAAATATAATTTGTTGGATAGTTGTAAGTAGTTTACTAAGTGTTTTAGAGCTGTGCTAAAGACATCTTTAAGATTTTTTTGTGAAAAAAATTAGTAGTTTACTTTATAGTAAAAGCATTTTATATTAATTGTAGCACATTTTTTAGTTATACATAGAAGGGAGATGTGTATAAAAAAAAACAACAAAAAAAGCCTGCCAAACTTGTTTCTATTATTTGTACAGCAAGAAATGGACAATTTATATCCATGTTGTATGGCATTATTATATTTTTTCTGCCATATGTCCATCTATTTAAAAATTGCTGACAATGATTTTTGTCTATTTATGAAAAATTAGAGAGCATAATTACCATTTCTCATAAGGTGCATTTTTGGGGTTTTTTTTATTTTTTATTTTCTTTGACGGTACTGCTTCCGCAGCACCTGGCACATTCGGTTCACGATGCTTATCTTACCTTTCTTTATAATAAAACATATGAAAAGTAGAACTGAACCAGTCTCTCCTTATTCATAGAACCGTAGAACGGTTTGGGTTGGAAGGGACCTTAAAGCCCATCCAGTGCCACCCCCTGCCCTGGGCAGGGACACCCCCCACCAGACCAGGTTGCTCCAAGCCCCCTCCAACCTGCCCTTGACCCCCTCCAGGGATGGGGCAGCCACAGCTTCTCTGCCCAACCTGGGCCAGGCTCTCACCACCCTCACACCAAACAAGTTCTTCCCCACATCTCAGCTCCATCTCCCCTCTTTCAGTGTCAAACCTTTCCCCTCATCCTATGGCTCCCCTCCCTGATCCCTCAGCGATCCCCTGGTCCCTCCCCGTCTCTCCTGGAGCCCCTTTAGGGACTGGAAGGGGCTCTAAGGTCTCCCCGGAGCCTTCTCTTCTCCAGGCTGAACCCCCTCAACTCTCTCAGCCTGTCCTCCCAGCAGAGGAGCTCCAGCCCTCAGAGCATCTTCCTGACATCCTCTGGACCATCCCCAACCGGTCCATGAATTCTTGGGGGCTCACCCTGGAAATGTCCTGGCCAGTGAGGTTCCTGCCTTGGCCTTGTCCTCCTCAGCTTCTTGATCCCTCGCTCCTCTCCCATCACATTCTCACTTGCTTTCTCTTTCTCCCCCCTTGCTCTGGACCAATATTAATTATATATGTCTGCAATGGAAGCTGTCACTCGGCCATGACAGACAGACAAGCATTTTTCTTTCATTTTCTTGGAAGAGGCCAACTTTACACTCAGCAGAGGGTACTTCCCTTTCTCAAGCAGTAACTTCTTGCCCTCTGTGTTGCCAACAAAGGCATCTCATGTCCCGGACCTTTCAACCCTCCTCCCTTCTGCCAGCTGTTGAGCAGCCAGAAAATGTCCACACAGACAGGGGGGTCACCAGGCTGCCTGGTGGCCACCAGCAGATGCCCACAGGAGCCCCATTTCCAACTGCTCCTTGGAAGCCATGGGTGAGAAGGATGCGAAAAGGGTGGAAAACTCAAACGGCGTAAGGATGGAGTTGGCATTCCCACCCTTCCATAGCGAGGATGGAAAATTCAAGTGGCATCAAAAAAAACAGCATGATGTGAAATTTCACACCCTGGGCCACCCGCCTGGAGGAAACATGTTAATTAACGTACCATTTTAAGCCCGTTTGCAGGCGCAGCTCGGCCGTAGGAGTCTCACCACATTGTGTCACCAGTTACTGTCATTTGGGTAAGGCCCAGTGTCGTCCAGTTTGCGGTTCAATGGAATCATAGAATCATAGAATCATTGAGGTTGGAAGAGACCCTTGGGATCATCGAGTCCAACCATCTCCCCTACTCTACAAAGTCCTCCCCTACACCATGTCCCTCAGCACTGCATCTAAACGGCCCTTAAACACAGCCAGGGATGGTGACTCCACCCCCTCCCTGGGCAGCCTGTTCCAATGCCCGACCACTCTTTCGGTGAAAAATTCCTTCCTAATGTTCAATCTAAACCTCCCCTGTTGGAGCTTGAAGCCGTTCCCTCTCGTTCTGTCACTAATTACCTGTGAGAAGAGACAGGTGTGGCCTCCCCAGTGCCGAGTACAGGGGCACAATCACCTCCCTACTTCTGCTGGTCACACTATTTTTGATACAAGCCAGGATGCCATTGGCTTTCTTGCCCCCCTGGGCACACGCCGGCTCATATTCAGCCGTTTGTCAATGAGAACCCCCAGGTCTCTTTCCTCCAGGCAGCTCCAGCCACACTTCCCCCAGCCTGTAGCGCTGCAGGGGGTTGGTGTGGCCCAAGTGCAGGACCTGGCACTTGCCCTTGTTGAAACTCATGCCGTTGATCTTGGCCCAGTGATCCAGTCTATCTAGGTCCCTCTGTAGGGCTTCCCTGTCCTCCTGGGAATCAACACCCCTGCTTAACTTGGTATCATCTGCAAACTTGCTGATGATACCCCAGCAATGTGTGGAGCTGGGGGATGGCTGTGTTTCCATCTGGGGCAGTGACTCTCGTTCAAGTCCAAGTCCCACTGCTGAGACACTACATCCCCCCGCTGCTGCCCGTCTATGGTGGAAGTGGCCTTAACATTTATGTTCTTCAACGACTTGAAATAACTTTTTTAAGCTTTCAGACTATGTTAATAACCCAGGGCAGAGCTCACTCTTCAGAGTTAAAGGTTTTTTTGATAAGGGAAATGTTTTTCATTGTGGGTTTTTTTTTCATTTTCAATGCCTATTGGTTTCACATACGCTACAAGAACTTGCTGCTGTGCCCCGTGCCTGGTGCCATAAATCCCTATTGGAGCACTAAGCCCCAGCTCTTGCTGGCCCACAGGCCACCGGAGAGGACAAGGACCACGTGGTGGGAGTTGTCCTGCTGTGTCCTCTGGGTGACACCTTCAATAGCATCATCCCACACACCCTTCTGGGACATCAAACCCCCAAAATCCCACCCTGCTCTGGATGGGGCAATGAGGAAGACCTTCTGAGATGGAAGGGTGGTTTTGGGCATGGTGGATTTGGACCAAGCAGTCCCCAGCAGGCCACCCTGGATGCCAGGAGAGATGGAAATAATGGCATCATGGCAAGGGACAGCAAGTCCCCGGAGCTGCAGGACCCCACAGAGGCTTGAAGAAATCCAGGCAGGTCACAAACTCCTTCTATAATCAGCCTGACATAAAATCTATGTTCTCCTCCGCTTCTGAGGCCACCACAGTGTTACTGCAGGGTGATTGAGTGTCAGTCCTCTCCGCTGAGAACGTTTGCTTTCTCGGCATGAGAGAGAGATGTGAAATCAAGATGTAACTCTGCCAATCATCTTCCATTAGAGCAGTTACACTTTTAACCCCCGGCTTCCTGCTCTCTGCAAGTATAAACAGAAAAAGTGCCTGTTCCTTGTCCCATTGACCGTGGTGACTCTACATTTTATTCCAGTATAAGCATGGCAAGGTCTCACCAATGCAGCACAACAGCTGTGGCGATGGGCAAGCGAGGAGAGCTGCTGGATAAAGCTCTAAATGGGGGACTCTTCCTTGCTGGTGGCCAGTGTAAGGCCATGAAGCTCCCCTTTTACCTCTGTAATCTTGAGCCATTTGAAAATAAAACAAGGACCATCAGCAAACTTCCTGAGGAGCAGCACGAGCAGTAACGCCTCAGCCCAGCTTGGCAAGCTCGTGGTGAGCAGATAATTAATCTGCAATATCAGAGCCAGGAGATGTCTTCTAAATACACAATTATTAAAATTGGAGGGGAAAAAATAGGATGTTAAGATGAAAACCTACCTTGAGCTATCACAGCAAGGAGATAGGACTTAGTCCAGGGGGAGTTTCTGAAATGTTTTTTTTTTTTTTTTTTTTTTTTTTAGTAGGGGCCTTGGGACTAAAAAAAAAAAAAAAAAAAAAAAAAAAAAAAGTTTTTTTTTTTTTTTTTTTTGCATGTAGCAGTGGCCTTGAGACTCTGAAATCACAGGGAAGCTGTTTCCAGCCCTGGAAGGAGATTTGGAAGAGGTCTTCACTGGAAGCACCACCTGTGCTTTGCCTTTTCTAAAGGAAGGTGCCCGTCATGATGCCCAGCAGCCCCAGGGACCTGCCCCCCCAGCTCCGTTGTCTTTGTGTTGCTGGGCCAGTGGGTTTGAAGCCATTCAGAAGCCTCCACCGAGAAGGTCTCCTTGGTGGCAAGGTCACCTTGCCAATTTAGCCCTGGCTGTGGAAAGCAATACTCATGCTGCTAACAACTTTCCAGCCAGCCTACGGATGTCACTGGGGGCTGCCCCTGCTTGTCCTTGGGTGGGCAATGGCAAAGGGCTGGTGGCCACCATGGGGCAGCCGTGCGGGGTAGGGTGACTGATGTCCAGCCCTGGTGATGCAGGACCCACCTCAGGGATGCGGGGTGGTTGGCTGTTACAGAGCCCGGGGGCATTAATGAGAAATTTTGAGACATTCCAGACCGCTCTAATCCCTACTAATCTCTAAATTTGCATGATGGCAGCTGTGCTTCAACTGTATTCCAGCTGTTGGCTTATTGTTGTGGACCTGGAATCGCTCCAAGGAAGCAACTGGGAGCCGAGCATCCCATCCACCACCACGAAATGCACCCGGGCTTCAGTAAGGGGTTCAGCCCCAGCCCTGGGGGTGATGGGCTGGGCAGCACTGGTGTAGCTGTGTAAGCATCTCCAACCCTCCATCTGTTAACAGACATTACCATCAGTAGAAAATGCGGTAGCTGGTTCTCAAGAAGCTGTTTGATCACCCCTCGCACCTCAGGGCAGGGTCAGCTCTTCCTAAACCCTGCCTGTGTGCCTAACCTCCCCATAAAAACCTTTAAATTCCAGGCAGACAACCTAAATCTCTCTCCCTACAAAGCAAATCCTCTGCTTTAGAACATCAGGAAGAATTTATTGCTTTCCTTGTTGCGGTAATTTTTTCCATATTTGAAGAAGGATCCTAGCTCATCCCCATCTCCTCTCCTCCTACCTGAGCCATCCCAATTGCTGGGGTCGTGGTCCTGGGCAGGACGAGCTGCTTCGACTTTTAATTAATAAGCACCAACCAGATCCTCAAAAGGCTCCGAAACAGCCTTGGGCAGGACAGAGGGCTCTGTGGTGCCACGGGGGGAAGGACCTGGGCAAGTGTTCCCGGCGTTGGGCTAATGATGGAGAGGGAAGTTAAGAGGCAGGGAGAGACCTGGCTAATTGACTTTGGTTTCTGAATTAGCAGCACTGTAGTATGTAATGGGCAGTTTAACAAATCTCAGCAGTGGGATCTCGGTGGTGTTAACCCTTTGAGCACAGGGACTCAGCCCGCTGGGGCAGCCCCAGGTGGGATGGAATAGGGTGGGGTGGGATGGGATGGAATAAGGTGGGATGGGATGGGGTGGGGTGGGATGGGATGGGGTGGCTCCAGGGATGCCTGGCTCACACAGAAATGGGGATACCCACCAGCATGCCACCACCCCACCAGGACACAGCCTCCCACATACCCAGGGTGTGCAGAAAGGGTAGCCCCTGGTCTTTGCCTGTGGTTTTGGCTTAGA